TGAAAGCTTATTGGTCTACATCCATACTGTGATACACCATTGTGTATGACCATTGTGATTCACTGAATACACCATTGTGTCTTCCTCACCTTAGACCTTGAACCTGGCACAAGGGACTCTAATAAGTAATGGCTGCCAAACCAAATGACTTCCTGAAGACTATTTTTTTTTGTCTTTTTTTTTTTTTTTTTTTTTTTTTTTGAGTGAGGGTCTCCAGTAGCCCCAGCTGGCCTGGAACTCACTATGTAGACCAGGCTGGCCTTGAACTCAGAGAGAGCCAACTCCCTCTGCCTCCCAAGTGCTAGGATTAAAAGCATGCACCACCATGCCTGGCTCTGAAGACTAGTATTATAGTTCATGGCCCCCGCCTCACCGTACCCATCTATACGGGCTCTGAGCCTGGGCCGATTAGTCATATGACTAATGATAATCCCTGAGGCCGTATTAATTATAGTTTCCTTACTATTAGAGATGATAGATCTTGGCATACTGGGAAGGGATATTATATGAAAATCTTGCTTTGAATGGGGTCCCTAGCTCCAGACACCAGGTCATCAGCATAAAAAACATCTGGGTCTGGTCCCGGCTCGCCCCCATCTTGCAAACCAACTGTAAATGTCTCTTTCATAAGGTCAATGTTAGGATTAAATGAGCTAATATATGTTAAGTGCTGGGCACAGAGGCTGACACATGGACAGGGTATAAGGTTCATGGAGGCACTTACCATATTGCTGTGGTTGTTAGCAGTAGCAGCAGAGTGAGGAATGCTCACTTTCATTGCCCTCCTGAGAGTCTTTATTGGAAGCTCAACATTTGAAGCTCACATAGAGTTAACATATGATAAGTGCTCAAGTAGTGTAAAACACATAGGAATTTTCCCATCATTACAGTAAGAAAACAGCAGAGTGCCCAAGGCCATGGTCACTGGCCCAGTAACAGACCTCCTTTGATGTATGCAGCATCATAAAGGCAAACAACCTGTCCCAGCATTCCAGAGACATCATCATGGAAGCAGACTACCCCTTCCTCAAGCCTCCACATCAACAAAGTCAGAAGTCCGTTAACTCTTAGTGAGCCAAGTGCCAGGGACAAGGAGGGAGGGGGTCACTACACAGCATGGCAATTTCTGCTGGCTGGAAGGGTTCCCAGAGTCTGAAATGGTATGATCGGATACATACCCCTGGTGAAATGGAGCATACCCATCATGGGTCATCACCTCTTAGGGACAGGAGCAATAGCTGGCACCTCCAAGGTACTTTACAAGGGAGGGACTCCTGGCAACACCTCCTCCAATGCTGTTGGATTTCAAAGAGGCTCAAGGGCAAGGACATTGCCCACAGAGACCAAGGAACCTTAAGAGGTAGACACCTCATTGCTTAATGTTGCCATGGGTGAAAACTATGCTCCCAACCCTTATCTGCCGCCAATCTTTTGGAAACCACCACACACTAACTTATACACAGAACCTGTACATGAGAAAGGGGAAAGTAGGAATGAACAAGATGGCCAAAATTTTCGGTGATAGGCACATGGCAGTTTGTTATTCTAGTCTTGCATGACTAAAGTTTTAGGATGAAGGGAAGTCATCTAGGGATCTGCCAAGTTTATTCCATGGGATGAACAAAGTATTGCATGTCCAAGAAAAAGAAAACCAAAGCTCAGAAAAAGTGAAAGCAGGAAGAGTGGGGGAGCCAAAAGCATGGCCTGATGTGACATGTGAGCCTACCAGGAAATGGGGAGGAAATCCCCGCTGCAAAAGCTGCCAGAGTAATAAAGTTGACAGGTGGGAGGGGCAAGGGAGAGATGGCTAGGAAACTGCCCTAGTGGCTTGAAAGCTGTTACCTTGGCAACCATGGGGGGGCACTACCATGAGAACTGTAGGAGTGGCTAGGTGCCTTACTGCTGGAACCAGGAGAGCCACTTGTGAGCTGCAAGAAGAGTAAAAAAGGCAAACTATTGTAGCAGATTAACAGTTCCATTGGACTGGGAGGAGGAGGGTCCAGAGTTGGGTGTCCTATGCCTCTTTCTGCCCCCCCCCCCCGCTTCCCACCCATGCCATTATGGACTTCCCCTCTGGAACTAAGCCAAAATAAACTCTTCCTTCTACAAATTGGTTTGATCATAGCTTTTTTTTTTTTTTTTGGTCTTTTTGAGACAGGGTCTTCCTGTAGCCCCAGCTGGCCTGGAACTCACTATGTAGACCAGGCTGGCCTTGAACTCAGAGATCCACTGTCTCTGCCTCCCAAGTGCTGATCATAGTATTTTATCACAGCAACAGAAAAGTAACTAATACACTGGGCATAGTGGAGCATACCTGTAGTCCTAGCACTTCAAGGTCACCTTTGGCAACACAGGGAGTTCAAGGTCAGCCTGAACTGCATGAGACCCTATCTCAGTAAGACAAAACAACAACAAAAAGGCAGTAATAATTTGAGGCCGTGGGGAAGGGGGTAAAGGGTGTCTTCTCTTAAAGAAGTCCCATAAATCTGAGGGTACCTAGTAAGGGAAATGAGGTGAAGGGGTGGCACTGTTGGTTCTAACTTTAGTCACAACAGAACCCATAGGGATTAGCTAAGGGGACAGAAGCAGTGAGAGCTCTTGGGCTTTGGAGGATGCTTCACTAAAGAAGGTGGGCAGGGCTTTGGTGCAAGTGGGTCTGTTCCCAGGTGTTTAAGAACACTAGTCCTAGCCGGGTGTGGTGGCCAACGCCTTTAATCCCAGCACATGGGAGGCAGAGGCAGGAGGATCTCTGAGTTCAAGGCCAGCCTGGTCTAAATAGTGAGTTCCAAGACAGCTGGGACTACAGGGAGACCCTGTCTGAAAAAAAAAAAAAAAAGAAAAAGAAGACACTGGTCCTTCTAGACCACCCAATGTTCATCCTAAGAAAAACTGTTTCAAGTACCTAAGGAACTGGGCCAGACCTCCTCTGTTGGGAGATGCTCCTTCCCTTTCTTGTGTTCTGGTCTCCACCTTTTCTTTACAAGGCCATGGCTGTAAGGGTGACCTGCCTCAGCTCTTTTCTCCTACTGCATTTGAAAGCCATATCCAAATGCAGGACTTCTGAGACCTGATACTAGTCAAATTCCACCTAATTTTTTTTTTAACTTTATGTGCCTGAGTGTATACATATGTACTAAATGTATGCAGGAGACTACAGAGGTCAGAAGAGGACATTGGATCCCCTGGAACTAGAGTTCCTTATGGTTGTGAGCCTCCATGCGGGTGCTGGGAACTGAACCCACATTCTTAATCACTGGGCTCTGTAGGCCCTCCAATCTCTTCTTGAAAATAGTATCCAAGGGAGCTGGAAAGATGGCTCAGTGGTTAAAAGCACTGGCTGCTCTTGCAAAGGACTGGGATTGGAGTCCCAGCACCCACATAGCAGCTAACAACCATGCATAACTCCAGTTCCAGGTATCCAACACCCTCTTCTGACCTCTTCAGGCACCTACTTACATGCAGGCAACACACTCATACACGTAAAATAAAGGGGCTGGAGAGATGGCTCAGCAATTAAGAGCACTGACTGCTCTTGCAGAGGACCCGGGTATGATTCCCAGCACCCACATGGCAGCTAAGGGCCGTTGTTAATTCCAGTTCCAGGGGAATCCAAAGCCCTCTCCTGACCTACATGGCATTGCATGACATGGGTGCACTCACATACATGCAGACAATACACTCATACACATGAAATAAAAATAATAAATTTTTTTTTTGGTCTTTCTTCAGGCAGGGTCTCCCTGTAGCCCCAGCTGTCCTGGAACTATGTAGACCAGGCTGGCCTCGAATTCACAAAGATCCGCCTGCCTCTGCCTCCCAAGGGCTGGGATTAAAGGCGTGCACCACCACACCCGGCATATTTTTATAAAAAATAAAATATTAAAAAAATAGTATCCACAGTCAGGCGTGAGTTTGAGGCCAGTCTGGTCTACAGAATGAGTTCCAGGACAGCTGGGGCTACAGGGAGACCCCGTCTCAAAAAGACAAAAAAAAAAAAAAAAAAAAAAGTATCCATGAGCCCAGGCATGGGGCACACACCTTTAATCCCAGTACTTGGGAGGCAGGGGCAGGCAGAACTTTGTGAGTTTGAGATCAGCCTGGTCTACAAAAAAAAAAGAAAAAAAAAGAAAAAAAAAAGAAAATAGCATCTGAGAGGCCTCCAAAATTGGTACCAGCTGGAATGAGGCTATTACTAAATGCAGGTTTGGTCAGTAGAATTTTGAAAATTGCAGGGAAGGCCTGAGATACTGTCTAGTGACCAGTTTCCGTGCCTGAAATCTCACTGAGTAATACTCTGTAGGACTACACACTGTATTACTGAGGTTTTTTTCAAAGCTGCTCTGGAAGAGTAACCCACTAAAACTAGCACCACACACAACTGTTCACTGGCATGGCCAGCACGGCACCTGGGAGGGTGAGGAGACCATGGGTGGGTTAGCAGGAAGGATGATGGAAGTGGTACAAGCAGCCTGGGGACAGACCACATCTGGATTCATGATACAGGCTGTCTGGAGCATGATGTTCAGAGAGGTCATGAGGTCACTTCTCCTACGGTGGAGGGAAATTTCCCTAGAGGCTGACAGGTCAGTAATGAGCCTTAGCAACCCCATCACCAATGTTTACAAAGTTCTTGTTTCCTATAGAGCCCAGAAATGGAATTGGCTCTATGCCTACCCTTTGTCCAGCAAAGGACACCTGTAAAGAACCTGTAAAGAACCCACGAGGATACCCTCAATATACCTCACTGTATTTCTGGTGTAAATAGAGCTAGACCTCCTGCCCTTGGAGGTAGGGAGAACATGCTAGTACCCATCTTGCACCGCTGTCCAGTGAGCACACCTCCATCCCTAACTGCCAAGTCATAGGAAGTGGGAAGGACAAAAAAGCAGGAGGCATAGGGGCTGGGTTTATCTCTAAAGGTATAGCCAAGAGCTCTGGCACCTCCCCATTTAACAGTAATAATGTCTTCTATCCTTAAGAAATGCAGAACTCAATTCTAAGACTTGTACAGATCAACTCATTTAATTATCATGATAAAACTAGAACATATTAGTCTGTATATATATGCACATTCATCCCATTTCACAGGTGAGAAAGTGAGGCACAGAGAGGTATATACCTTGCCTTAAGTCATGGAGACAGCAGGACACAGGCTGAGGCTGTCCTCCTACTGAGTGTGCCCTTCTCATTGTGCACTCCGCCTCTCAAGCTCTCATTCAGCTCAACCAGGCTGGGCAGGACAGCAGCACTTGGTAGTCGTACCCTCTGGGCCAGGCACTAGGCAAACACCTATATCCTTCAATCTCTGTAGAACCCAGTAAAGGATGAGCTACTCTGTCCATATGGGGAAACAAGGCCAGAGAAAGAATGGAGCTGAAGTCCAAGATGGCTTGAGCTCCACTCACTAGGTGTCTCCTCCCCAACTAGTACAGGAAGCCAAAGAGAATGGAGACCAGGAGGGAAAAAAGAGGTGGAGTAAGGGGCTGGAGCAGACTCCAAGGGTCTTCTTCATGCCTGGCAGCTGTTTGAGGTTTTCTTGGCATCCACAGGGAACCTCCAGACCTCCCCTCAGGGCTGCCTGGCCATGGAGAGGGACTAGAGGGGCAGGGGACCCAAAGCTCCATGGTGACCAGTCACTTTGCTGCTCCCCTAGTTACAGTGGCAAGTCCTCAGGTTAGGCTGCTGGTGGTAGGCACAACCTATTACAGGTGTCCCTACCCAATACACCTATGTGTGTTTCAGGAGACCTGGCAGGATTGAGGGGCACTGGCAACACAGAGTGCCCTTCAGTGACACCTCTTGATCTGCAGGCTTGGGCAAACAGGGATGATGCTGGTGGGGATACCTTCTGGAAAGCACACAGCATGAAAACGTACACTGCTAGGTAGGCAGGTCTGAAGCAGTAGAGGCAACTCAAGAGCCCCAAAAAGCTGAGGATTGGTGAGGACCAGAAGAGGACACAGAGCCTTAGTATAGCCTCCTCCCAAGCCACCCAGTCTCCGAGCTCCCCTAGCTCAGCCCACTTCAGCTGAAGTCCAGAGAAGGTACTTGGCAGAACTGAGCAAGTGAGTGACACAGATGAGGCTTCATTGGGCCAGGTGCCGACCCCTGTACAGCACCACTGCCAGGAAGAGAGCTAAGAGAGCAGCACCAGCTGCCCCAAGCCACTGAGCCCTGAACACTGACTCGACGCAAGGCTCTTCCTTCTCTTCTTCCTCCTCCTCTGGGGGCTGCTGGTTTGCTAATGGCCCAGAACTTCCTACCAGAAGGTCAGCATTGGGGCCCTCCTCTACCTGGATCCTAAAGGATAAATACTCATTCTCCTCTGGGCCGTGGTTGGGCTCTGAGCCCAAGGAACTGCTAGGGCTGATGGCAAGGTCCGCAGAGCAGCCTGAGAATGGCTGGCTGTTCACTTCAGATACCAGTATGCCTGGCTTGCTCAGCTCTGGCCCAGAGTATAAGCTCCTGGAATTGCTATCTGGTCTGGGCAAGCTGTATCCAGTGGTGACTGTGTTTGCTGGAGCCTCCAGGGTCTCCTGGAAATACAAAGAGAGCATTGGAAGAGATTAAAGAAAACAGGGAAACAAGCCAGGTTAGGTAGTCCCATTCCATATGCAGGGTATGAACTAGCAGCCCATAATGCCTGAGACCACCCTCTCTTGGGGACCCAGTTATTAGTGGTGCAGACACCTGAGGAGGGGATAATTGATGGCCCCCTCCAGGGCAGCCCTCTCCCACTCACTGAGCTGCCTGTGAGCTCACCACTGCTAGGGAGCCCTTTCTAGGGTATGACTCATTCTGCACTACCTGGGCCTAAGGGCCAAGGAGAACCACAAAAGCCTAAGGCTCATGAACTTGGTTCTTTTTAGGTAGACAGCAGCAGTATTAGCCACGAGGCCTTGAAGGTGGCAATTTGGGGACCAGTAGGACAGAGCAGCGCTCCAAGCTGGATGCTTGAGACAATGAACAAGGCGCCAAGACACTTAGTCCACTAGGCTCAGCTCCTCACTTCCTCTTCATCTGCAAAATGGCACTGCTAAGCTTAACTAGGACCTTGAGCTCCAAATGAGTTCATGCACATCAGTGGGAGTGGTTCAGTTGTGGGGGCTGAGTGAGGGTGTTTCCCAGCTGCCTCAATACCTTAAAGGACAGCCCTTGAACTTGCCCAGGCCAGAGAAACACAGGAACTGGGAAGGTCCAAGGACAGCACCTGGAAGATCAGCTGTCCTGGGAAAGTGGCCTGAGTCATTGCCAGGAAGAACATGAACTCACCTTGGCTCTGCTGCTGCTCCTGCTGGGGGATACTGTGCTGGCAGGTGTTTTGGTGAGCACTCTGGATGGAATTGTGCCAGCACGTGCTAAGTTGATCGGCAGTTTGGATGGTACTGGATGACTGAGCACATTAGAGGGCACTGCAGCAGCAGACTCTGAGCTGGTGGGCAACTTGGAGGGCACTGTGCTGACAAGCGCTGAATGGGCAGACACTTTGGAAGACATGGTTTTCACAGGTACCACATTGGTGGGAGAAGGCACTGAGCTGATGGTTAGAGAATTGGTGGGTACTCCTTCAGCACTGGGGCAAATAGCAGCCTTAGCCTGGTCATCAGCTGCCCTTACAGAAGCCAATCCAGTGGAAGAGGACGAGGGGGAGGTGTCAGCAGGTGCAACTGATACCATGGGTCCAAACAAGTGGCTTGCCCTCGGAGTGGAACGTGCCAGGGGCTGGAAGGAGACAGTTGGAGACACAGGTCCATGGGGTGATATGGGAGTAGAGGCAACACCTACAGGTGATGAGTGAGACAAAAGCAGAAACAAAGCCAAGGGATCATTTTACCTTAAGGGCTAGAGAAGGGTCCCTATGCCCCTGGTCACATTGTCCCTACTGCATCTAGGTCTCCTAATCTCCTGCCCATGGAGAAGATCTGAAGTTTCTGTGGTCAGTGCTCTCAGGCCTGAAGGCCTCAGCCCTTGACTTACAGTCCTATCTTCAGCCACACCCATGAGTTTGAAGATCATTACTAATTATTCTCTTTACTTTTCTTCTCCAACCCAGACATTTCTGCCTCTTCTACCTTGTCCTGAGTCTGATGGAATCCTAGACACACTCCTCACTGCTGTCCCCTGCTCCCCTAGCAGGAGCAATCCTGATCAGGGCGAGGAAGAGAAGGACGGCTCAACAGAACCACTAACCCATTCAACTGGAACCACAGGTTTATGTCCCTAGGAATGAGGACCTCGGAATCCAGGGAAGGGAGCTTGACCTGGAGGAAGTAGGGAGTAGCAGGTGGTAACAGGGTATGAAAGTGGTGGCATCAGATTTTCCACGGAACTCTGAGGATACACGTCACGGTCTGAGGCTAACGATGATCAGGAGAGATATCTGATGTTGCCCCTAAATCTAATAGAAAATCTGGAACTTCTGGTCACAAATGAACTGAAACTCAAGTATCCTTTGCCTCCACAGCAGCATCTCCTGGAAAATGTTTTGTGACAAGCAGAAACAGCTACTTAGGGCTGTTTGGGGATGGAAGAAATAGGGTCACTAAGATAACTTTTCCCAACCTTTAACTGCTCACACAGTGACCTCAGGGCACTGAGGGCTGATGGGGCACCAGTGTCAAATAGTTTGGGAAGCATAGGAGAGCTAAACCAGCCAGAGTAGAAGGTGTATAGCCCTGAGGTGGGGCACTAAGTCTGTGTGGAGATCTGACCCCTGACTGATTCCTCTGGAAAAAAGGGCCTAACTCTCTCCTACACACAACAACGTACAGCAGCAATACACACCTATGTGGCAGCCATACTTGCCCATGTAATTTTGCCAGTTTCCCCACTCTGGGAATCTGGGCTGTCCCTATAACTTGCTTTGGCCCACAGAATGGAGCAGGGGTGACAGTTTTGAGCCTATGCCTCAGAGCCCTGCCTCTCTTTCACTCAAAGCCCAGCCCAGTTGCCATGAGATGGGTTTATGTGCTAGAGGATGAAAGTGCAAAGAAAAGGATGATAATAGCAGGACATATATGAATGTCAGTGAATATATGAGAGGAATTCAACTAAGACCAGAGGACATGCCCAGCTAAGCCATGTGCTAATAATGATATTTTATCCAGGCGTGGTGGTGCACGCATTTAATTCCTGCACTTGGGAGGCAGAGGCAGGTAATGGAGCTTTGTGAATCCAGGCCAGCTGTGGCTACAGGGAAACCCTGTTTCAAAAAGACCAAAAGTAAAAAATAATAAATAGTAAATAAAAGTAGTAAGAAAAAAAAAATAAAGGATTTTATATATATATATTTTTTTGGGGGGGGTCTTTTTGAGACAGGGTCTCCCCTGTAGCCACAGCTGGCCTGGAATTCACTATGTATACCAGGCTGGCCTTGAACTCACAGAGATCCACCTGCCTCTGCCTCTGCCTCCCGAGTGCTGGGATTAAAGGCATGTGCCACCACACCCGGCATAAAGGATTATATTTTTAAACTTCTAAGCAAGCATGTGCGCACACACACACAAAAATTGATTGCTGCACAGCAAATGCTGGTAACACCCATTAAGGAACTGGTTTGCTCTCTGGAGTGAATACCCTTTATTCCTATTTTGCTGCCTGTACAAGGAAGGCCAACTGGCAACTCTAATCCTAACCCCTTCTTGGGTGGTCAGAGAGGCCCTGTAGTACCACCTTCTATGCATACCTGTCCTGTGGGCGCCACCAAATTCTGGTTCTTGCTCATGATGTTCACTGGAGGTCAGAGAGCTGAGGGCTTGCTGATCAGATGAGGGCATCAAAGAGTCACCAGACATCTTCAAGACGGCCCCGAAGCTGGGTACCTGTGGGGCCTGCTCTGAATTCTCCAATGGGGAAAATGGGAAGAAGGCAGTTACTTTTCTGATGAGCTGGCAAAGAGCACCTGATATGCATGGACCTCAACTAACATTCCAGAGCCCAGGATCCTAGGGAACCTTTGCCTTGCTTCTGGCCACAGGGGACCTTCGCAAACCATGGGTATAGCTCAGTGGTAGAGTACTTGCCTAGCAAGCATCAAGTCCTGGGTCTCCAGTACCCATTTTTTTTTGTTCTTGTTTTATTTTGAGAAGGGTCTCTATGTATCTCCAGTTGGCTTTGAATTCATTGTGTAGCAGAGGATGACTTTGAACTTCTGATCCTCCTGCCTCCACCCCGAGAGCTAGGCTTACAGGTATGTGTCATCATGCCTAGTTTATTCAGGGTTGGGGACTGAACCCAAAGTTGTATGCATGCTAGACAGGCATCTACCAGCTGAGAACTACATACTCAGCCCTCCCAGACCCACCCCAAGTGTTTTTTTTAAAATATTTTATTTATTATTTTTATTTTATGTGTATGAGTGTATTATTGCCTGCATGCATTTGAGTACACCCATGTCGTGCAATGCCGCGGAGGTTAGAAGAGGGCTTCGGATTCCCCTGGAACTGGAGTTAAGGACGGTTCGTAGCTGCCATGTGGGTGCAGCGAATTGAACCGGGGTCCTCTGCAAAAGTAGTCAGTGCTCTTAACTGCTGCACCATCTCTCCAGCCCCCCAAGTGCTTTTAAAACAAAACAAAACCAAAAAACCATGCACTGTCCCAAGGAGATCCCTATCCATCTGTCTGGTTTTGTGGAAACGTCTCTCTGCAACCACTGCATAGAGCCCTTTCTTCAGCAGCTTCTGAACAGACCCTGCAGCTTCAGGCCCATAGTGTGGTATCTCTTGGACACTACATGGCCTGCTTATCACATCTCAGTAGAAGTAGTCATCTTTTCCCTACACTTGATTTTACTGCTGATATTTACAACACTGTCACCTCAAATTATGACCACCTGTGCCCTCACACACCTGTAAATCTGGCCACCCTTCAGGTCTCTCCACCCAGTTCAACATCTCATATGACCATTGATTGTAAAACCGTCAAACTCATGGCCTCCCAGGTGGCTGATGACAGAGTGCTGAGATGGCCACAGGCCTGGAAGCAATCAGGGAGGTGGGCTAGGGCAGCCTCCTTTAAGGGAAATCTAGCATTTTAAGCAGAGATTAGACAAAATTTGCAGGAGGTGGGAGAGGGCCTCTAGAAGGCTGGGTGGGCAGAAGTGAGGAAGGAGGCACACAAAGCAGATGGCCTAAGTAGAATGTGAGGACCTACCTCTCCTGGGGACTTTGGTGGCTGGGTGTCCTGGACAGGCCTGGGGTAACCTGGTTTCCCTTGGTAACCACTGTGGGGTATGCTGTAGCCTGGAGCAGATGCAAAGGTTCCTAGAATCTTGGCAGGAACTACTGGTGACTCTGGTGGGGCTAGGGAGCAGGGTTGGGTCCCTAGAGAACAAAGATTATAGTGATATCAAGAAGGAATTGGGAGTATCCTGGTAACAGGAGAGGCCTGGGTGTTTTGGGACCTCCAGCCTCTCTTCCATAGTTCCAAAAGGTGACCTGATGTGGGATAACTCCTAAGAAACGACAAACATCACTAAGGAGGGGGAAGGAGAGAGGATCTGGGGAAAACAGGAGAGGTAGCAAGGGAGAATGAGGGGGCATGGGTCTCTCACTACTCAGGCATGTCAGTGGTCACTCCTTCCCTCTCTGCCCCAAGGCTTTCTCCTCACAACTATCACTTAGCTGATCCCTACTACCACCCATCTTTGGCCATACCATAGCTATTTCTATTTAAGTGCTACTGACTTCCACAAATGAAGAGACCAGTTAGGAAAGAAGGGAGGAAAAGAAGAAAAGCAAACATGGTGTATTTCAAGACTGTGTGTCTGACTGGGGTTCGGGGGTTGCCTCTGATCTGAACTCTAAATAGAGCTGGCTTGATTTCTCTTCCTTGGTCTTCTCTTCAGATCCCATACCACCAAATCCCCTAGGATCAATGACTTGGCAGGGGCACTGAGGGAAATTAGGAATAACTCGGCATCTGGGGCTTGGGAGTAGAAGCTAGAATGTTCTAAGAGAAACCTGGAGGAGGGGAAGGTAAATGTAGAGTGAGTGAGCAACTGGGGGAAGAGAAAGGAGACAAGAGAAGAAATGAGGACAAGTAGGGGGCAAACACGTGAGTCCAAAAAATGACAGCCAGTGCAGTTCTCTGTACTGGATATAAGGGAGGTGCAGAGCCTCAGCTAGGCACTCCATAGGCATCATCCTGTAGTGTCTGTCCACTGCAGCCCTACATCATACACATGATCATTAGCCCCACTATGACGACTAAGAGACGACTAAGGCTAAAAGAAATTAAGGGATTTGGCCAAGGACCACAGATCTATACACAGGTATGTCTTTTGCTGGGGAGTGATTGAGAAAGGCAGGAGGTAACAGGATGCAGGAAGAGGGAGCAGACAGGGAGCTCAGGAAAGCCAGAGCAGAACACTCACCAGAAGGCAGGTAGCTCTGGTAAACTTGAGTCACTTGTTGAGCTAGCTCAGGAAACTCACACATCATCAGTGCCTGAATGAAGCAGCCTACCCAGCCAGTCCGACGCTGGAGCCTATTAAAGAGTTCCCAAAGTGTGTCCCGGTTTCCTACTTGTGTATAGGAGGCCCGCAGTCGATCCTGGAAGACAGCACAACCACTCTGCTAACCACTCTGTTGCCAGGAGGCCCAGCCTCTTCCCAGAAGAAGTCTAAGAAAGCCACAGAGGGAGGCAGCTATCTGAAACCCGATGACAGCCAGCACAAGGCCAGGGTGGTAGCCCCAGTATAGAGTAAGAAAAAGCAATTAGCAACAATAAAGAGAGCTGCCAGGAAAGTGCTGTGACAACGTCCAGGGCTCTTTGTTATCTCATTTAATGCTATGATCAACCCTGCTTTAGAGATAAGGAAACAGAGGCTTAGCAGAAGCAAAGCAACAGAGGTCCAACACCTGTGGTGAAGGATACAAAATCTAGAATCAGGCAACTGAAACAAAGACAAAAGTTTGGATGAGTAGAGAAGGAAAAGGCGCCCAGAGATAGGAAGCAAGGGTTGAGAGCACTGGTATGATGGCAGCTGTGGTCTTTTTTTTTTTTTTTGGTATTTTGAGACAGGGTTTCCCTGTAGTCCCAGCTGGCCTAGAATTTACTATGTAGACTAGGCTGGCCTAGATCTCACAAAGATCTGCCTGCCCCTGCCTCTGCCTCCCGAGTGCTGGGACTAAAGGCATATACTACAACATTTGGCTAGTTTTTGTTCTTTTTGAGACAGGATCTCACTATGTAGCCCTGGCTGGCTTGAAACTCAATATATAACCCAGCCTAGTCTCAAACACAGAGATCTACCAGCCTCTGCCTCCTGAGTGCTGGGATTAAGGGCCTGTGCCACCACACTTGGCTTTTTGTTGTTGTGTTTTAGCTTTGGGTCTTTTTATGCATTGAATTTCCACTTAAAAATCAATCGGCTTCTAATCTGGCATTAGGGAGGCTAAGATGGGAGGATTGCAAGTTTGAGGCAAAGTGGGTACACAGTGAGACCCTGTCTCGAGAAGGGAGAAGGAAGAAAGGATGAAGAAAAGAACAGAGGGAAGGAGGGAAGGAGGGAGAAAAGAAGGGAGAGAGGTAAAGGAAAACCAATGGCTATCCACAGGAAATATTTACTACAAACTAGGTGACACGGTAACCCTAGAAATGCCCAACATAAGGTGAGCCAAACCACAGAGGCCCAGACCTGCACTCTAACAGTATCTGCATGGAGGGTAAACAAGGAACAAAGGTATTCCTGAGACATCGGAAACCCCCAAAGACCCCACAAGCAGCTATCAGGTACACAGGAGTTCGTTCCATCTGAGAACAACCGGAATTAAGACAGAGGTTTTGAAATAGGAGACTAGAGCCAGGAAACCTGCAGATCTAGTGCCATATTTTTGAGAGCTACACAAAAACATGAGGGAACTCAGCAAGATTAGGAAAGCCACCAGGAACCATACTTGATCTAAAAGTTAGAAAAGCAGGACAAGCAGCAGCCTTAGAAGAGAGAAGCAAGGAGTTAGCCCTAGTCTGGGCAAAGGGCTGGGACAGGCTCAACTTGGAATTTTGCAGCCCTGTCCCCATTGTGGTCCCACTGTCGCTTCCCTGGCTCACCTGGTCACTTGCTGTGAGGCAGGACAGGAAAGGGAGGATCTCCAAAACATCAACACAGCAGAACTTGCTGTGATTGTCACGAATATACTTATAGGTCTTCTCCTCAGCAAATGTCATGGCTGCTCAGTTTCTGGAGAGTGCTCTGGCCCTGGGAAGGGTGAGTGGACTGAGAGAGATAGATTGGAAGAAAAGAGACCACAGGGCAACAGGGTTGGAGAAAGGCAATTCTTTTCTTTCTCCTCTTTTAAAAACTTTGCTTTTATCTCTAATCTTTTTTAAGGGGATTTTTAAAAAATTATTTTTATTTTATGTGTATGTGTGTATTGCCTCCATGTAGGTAAGTGCACCTGTATCATGCAATGCCCGCGGAGGTCAGAAGAGGTTGCTAGATCCCCTGGGACTGGAGTTATGGACAGTTGTTAGCTGCCATGTGGGTGCTGGAATTCAAACCCGGGTCCTCTGCAAGAACAATCAGTGTTCTTAAGTGTTGGGCCATCTCTAGAGCCCCTGGGGATTTTTTTTAATGTGTATGAGTATTTTGCCTGCTGAACTATGTCTCCAGCCCAATCTTTCACTACATTAACCATACTGTGTTATTACTCAGAGGCTCTCAAAGAATTTGCTTAAAGTGAATTGATGACCAGAGAGATACTGACTTAGGGCCTATTTCTGCCCTGAAAGTTTGATCAGTGTTAGTGAGGATCTGCTGTGGCCTTTAATACATGTGCTCCTTGTGGCTATGATTTTGCGGGTACTGGATGTCCTCCTAGCACTAAAGGAGGGTAGTACAAAGTGTCATCTATAAATGCTGCTTCTTTGGGACAAACCGAAAGAAAAAAAAAAGAAGAGAAAAAAAAAGCTGCTCAGCTTCATAATAAGATGATCATGCTGCTATAAAGATGTGTGCATCAAGAAATCGGGGGCCTGCTAGTTACTAGAAGAGCAAAGGCCTAAGGTCTTTTAGAACAGGTTATTTCTGGAATATGATGCAGGTCTACCATTAAAGTTTGTTTACATATGCTCTCAAGGTAGAAAACAAGTTGTATTACACTAGGTTGGTGTAAGACTCAGGGCAAATTACCAGCCTTTTCCATAAAATGGTTCAGACAGGGGCTTCTAGATGGCTCAGTGGTAAAGAGCACTTGTTGCTCTTCAAGAGAACTTGAGTTTGGTTCCCAACACCCATATCTGGTGGTGCACAACTGTCTGTAACTCCAGTTCCAGGGGATCTGACCTCTTCTTCTGGCCTATGTGGGCACTGCCCACACTTGGTATACACTCCCATAGATACACACACATACACATAAATAAAAATAGATAATTTTTTAAAAAAATGGTTCAGAGAGCTTGTTTTGCTAATACAGTAGTTCAGACATAAAAGCTTAAATTTTTTAAACTAGGCACTTAAAAATTTATTTATTCATTAATGTGAGTGTGATGGGTATGTGAGTTATACAAGTGTGCCACAGTGTATATGTGAAAGTCAAAAGATAACTTTCATAAGTTGGTTCTCTCTTTCCACTCTGAGTTCCAGAGATGGAACTCAGGTAGTCAGGCTTATAGAGCAAACACTTTTACCTGCTGAGCCATTTCACTGTCCCTCAGCTTAAAATGTAAACTGCAATCTTTCCACCCCCTCTTCTGCAATACTCCCTGAGCCCTGAGTGGGAGGGTTTTATATAGGAGTCCTGTCCAAGGACCAGCATTCTGAAGGCTCTTAATCTCTACATTTTGGCCATTTGTGACCTTTTATGTTCCTGGCCCTCTGTTGCATGAGGGAGCTTCATTAATGAGAACCGAGATATCCAGGGAAGAGGTGCATGACCAAATGGAAATAGAGTCCTACAAGCTCTTGAGACCCTGCTCATATGAACATACAGCAATGGTGTCAGCATGCACAGGACCCATGCAAACTTAAGCAGACAAAAACCCAGCATAGAACTGGGGAAATGAACAGCAGACCCCAATCTTAGCTGAAGAAATACTGGCAACTGATTGCTGCTGGGTAAGGAAGAGCTGATCTTCCTACAGCGAGGAACTCTAGATAGGCTGACTAGACCTTAGTAGATGAACTTGCACTGAGGCCTGTTTGGGGACACTAACGACACAATAGGCCTTAACACAAATGACAGAATGTATGAATTCCAATGGACGAGTGCCAGTGGGGAAGGGAATAAAAAGATGATAAAGATTGATTGAAATGTTCTGTATGAAACACATGAAACTGGAGTTATAGATGGGTGTTAGCTACCATGTGAGTGCTGGGAACCAAACCTGTATCCTCTGCAAGAACAGGTAGTGCTCTTAACCGCTGAGCTATGTCTCCAGTCCAATCTTTCACTTCATTAACCATCCAGCTGGCATGGAACTCACTGTGTAGACCAGGCTGGCCTCAAACTCACAGAGATTCGCCTGCCTCTGCCTCCCGAGTGCTAGGATTAAAGGCATGTGCCACCACGCCTGGTGTAAGGAAGTCTTATGTAGCATCACAATTTGTAATTACATATGGCTTTGCTTACTTGTCTTATTTGCCTCTCACATCAGGAGTAAGAAACACAAGGTCTGTGCGGCATCTAAAATATATTCTATTGGGGTAGATCAAGTAACACATCAGTTAGCACATACCTAGATAATAAGTTCTGAAGGTAAGACAGGTTATGAAGAGACAGGGCAATGAGACAAAGCCCTGGGGAAGGACAGTCTGCTTAAACTGGGTTAGCCAAGCCCTTCCCACTGGTAACATCTGAGTTGAGTGATTCTCAGCTGTGAGAAAATTGGGAGTTTTGGGTATAAGGCACAGTAGAAACAAAAGTTCCAAGATAGGAAGGAGTTTGGCAAGCTTGGAGAATATAAAGCAGGCCAGGGAGGTGGTTTAGCGAGCTGGGAGGAGGGGTAAGAGATCAGGTCAAGGAGGCTGCCATGTAGGGTGTCATGGGAAGGACTTTGGGTTTTACTTGGTGTGGAACACGGAATCACTGGAACCTGGAGGCTCTGATTTGCACTGGAGAATTCTCTGGAGGTTATAAGGCCTGGAGGTTGTGGGAGGACAGGATGGAAGGAGGGTGACAGGTTAAGAGGCCACAGTAGGGTGTGGCCAAGATAGTAGTGGGGGAAGCCTTCAATTTTGGTGTTTTGCAGAAGTGGGAGGTGAGGGAGAGCTCCACTTTGAACAAGTTCAAAATGTTGTTGGATTCCAAGAGCACTGTTGGGATGGAAGACGGCAGATAGAGGGAGGGAACCAAGTGTGCTTCACCAGCATGAAACCTCTGAGATACTATGCTGCTGAGCAGAAGATACCTTCAGTCACTGCAGGTTAGAGGCCTCACAGCCCCATGTCCAATCAGTTGTGCCACCACTAAGTGCCACATTCCTGATGCTGAGCTAGGGATGGAGGGTCAGGGGGTGAGGTAGGGGTCTTTTGAGCCTTCAGAAATGGAAAGTATCTCTATGGAGGCCAGGTTGATGAATCCCCTTGGTTTCCCTTTCCAGGGCACCTAGAAGGGAGCCAAGTGAGCTCTTTCCTGCAGTCTAGCCTCAGCACTTAATGCACCAATGGGGACAGGTATTGATGCGGCCTCACCAAAGGCAAGGAAGCCCATATTTGTTCACATTCATCGAAGGCTCATTGTTGACAGGGACAGCCTAAGATTCTTTCACTTTGTCCTTGACACAATCTCAAGAGAGAGGAAATGATATCGTTACCCTGGCTGACCAGCAGACCATGCAGGATTTGAACCCAAGACTTGTTGCACTAAGTTAACACCCTGCTGGCCATAAAGACCCCCACAGCAGGGGAACCAAAAAGCCCCATCTTCACGTCCAGGGAGAAGCCAAGTTCACCAGTTGGGAATGGCTACAGGGTGAGAGGATGCAGTGCTTAGGTTCTCTGACATGGAAACCCTCAGACACAGCTAACATTAATCCCTCCCTCATTAACATCAGCCTGAGTTCCAAAATCAAGTTCGCTGACTGTCCTCCAAGTTTTTGACCCTTCACAGTATCCAGAGAACATTGTTCTTGTTTGGTTTGATCCTTTTCCTCGAACTTCTTTCCCACCTCAAAGGGAGAAAAGTGGAGAGGTGTCCCGGACAAGGCAAAGCTTCCCACCTGACTGCCAAAGAGCTTCTGCCCACGTCACGGAAAGAAATACCCACCCTACCGAGAACAGGCCTCACGGCCTCAGACCGGATTCCAGAGCGGGATCAGGTCATCCAAGTGCGGGGAGGCTGTTCCGGGCAGGTGTCACTGCCTGCAACTGCCCAGATTCAGGATCAGGCAGCTCAACTCCTCAGCGCGACAGCCACAAGTCGCCGCACGAGGCCGGCCTCGCCGAGAATCACCAGGGCCAGCAAGAGGTAGGAAGCCTCCGCGGCCCCGCCTAGCAAGCCGAGCAGAGGCCCGGCGGCACCCAACCTGCCCGCTGCGGGTGCCGGAGGAGGCCTCGCAAGGAGCTCCCAGGTCCCGAATCCGTGTTCCGCAAGGCCTTGCTCTCGCCTCCGCGGGCCCCCGCGGGCCCAGGTCCGGTGCGGTCCGGCCGCCTCGGAGCTACAGTGGGTTGAGGCCGCGACTGTTCCCCAAAGGGCGTTGGGGCTCGCTGAGCCCCTAGGACCCAGCGCCGAGGCGCGAACTTACCTAGAGGAGCTGGACCTGCGGGCCGGCCGACTGCTGTCGCCAGAGCGAAGCCCTCCCGGATGGGAGCGAGGGCTGGAGGGCGGGGCCCGAGCGAGGCCTGGCGGGCGGGGCCGCCATGGAGGGCGGGTCACGGAGCGGGGCGGCAGCCATTGGCCAGGCGGAGGCTGGGTCTCGCGGGCCGCTGGGCGTGCACGCGCTGGGGCAGCGCTGGCCTTGGGAGACGTTTGCTCGTCCCCGTTGTCGTCGTTCCCCCCAACCTCCCGGGCGTGAGGGAGCGTTTTGTTTGTCCCTTTTTAGTCTGGCGCAGTTTCTTGGGGCATCTCGACGCCTGCGGGCCACCTTCCCTCTGGGTTGGCAGGCTTGGGTTCCGTCCCGTGCTCCTCGGCCCTGAGGCCAGTGTCAGCGCCTACACCGCCGGGGCCTGACGCTCTGCTCCGTAACGTGGGGTGGCACGCAGAGGTCATAGAGGGCCAGGCCGGGCGACTGGCTGGAGCCCTAGAGGCAGGATGAGCGGGAGACTGCGGGTATGCACAGCCGCCTACCTAACTCCAGTTCTGGGGTTCAGACACACGAATACACATAAAATAAACTCTTTTAGCCCGGCCTGGTGGCGTGCGCCTTTAATCCCAACACTCGGGAGGCAGAGGCAGGCGGATCTCTGTGAGTTCAAGGCCAGCCTGGTCCACATAGTGAGTTCCAGGACAGCTGGGACTACAGGAAGACCCTGTCTCAAAAACACCAAAAATAAAAAATCTTAAAAAACCATATACACTAGATAATGTTCTAGAGACTTTATTCATGATAGGCAAATTCTGGAAGCGATTCAAATGTCCTTTAGTAAAATTAGTGGACAAATTGGTGGGTTCACATGTTAGAACTGTAAGCACTCAGCAATGAAAGAACATAACTTTTTTTTTGTTCCTTTGTTTTTTTGTTTTGTTTTGCTTTGAGACAGGATCTCGCTATGTAGCCCTGACTGGCCTTGAGCTCCCTATCTAAGCTGGCCTCCAACTCAGAGATCCTCCTGCCTTTTCCTCCTGAATGCTCAGATTAAAGGCGTCGGCAAAGCCTGGGACCTGAGTCTGAGGGCCATAACCCACATAGTGGAAGGAAAGAGTCTGTGTTCAAAAGCCTCCACAGTGTGTGCTATGGCCTGTGTGGCCCACTCCTACATGAATGTAAAAAAAAATCATTTTTTTAAATGCATCAATGGCACACTTAATGTGCTTTCCTAACTACCAACGTTTTTAAAAAGAGGGCTGAGGGATTCCGTGGAGATTGCAGGCAAACATCAGAACAGTTGCCTCCACCAAACTGCATAAAGATGCTAAAACTCCGGATGAGATTTTATGACTGTTCTTGGTGGTTCTGTAGCTATTTCACAACCTTCATCATGTACAAAGTGTTCTAAGTCACACCCAAAAATTTCGTTGTGCCTGCAAACCACTATGGCCTTGTATCTAATTGTTGCAAGAAGACATTGGGAGTATGAGGACTAGCTTCCAAATGCACCCTTGTCTCACTGGACTCTGAAGGGCATTTAAACAATCCAGCTTCCTGGCCTGGTTGATTCCCTATCACCTGTCAACAGCCTTTAAAAATCTATGCAAAGAGCCAGGCGTGATGTCACATGCCTTTAAAGTGCCAGCATTTGGGAGGCACAGGAAGGCAGATCTCTGTAAGTTCCAGGCCAGCTGGGGCTACAGGGAGACCCTGTCTCAAAAAGACCAAAAAAAGGAGCTGGAAGCTGGGCATGGTGGCACACACCTGCAGTCCCAGCACTTGGGAGGCAGAGGCAGGCAGATCTCTGTGAGTTCAAGGCCAGCCTGGTCTACATAGTGAGTTCCAGGGCAGCTGGGGCTACAGGGAGAGCCTGCTTCAAAAAGACTGAAAAAAAAGGGGGGGGGGGGGGCTGGAGAGATGGCCCAGCAGTTAAGAACACTGGTTGTTCTTGCAGAAGACCTGGGTTCAAATCCCAACACCCACATGGCAGCTAATAACTGTCCATAACTCCAGTCCGACAGCCTCTTCTGACCTCCGGCAGGCATTGCACAACACACAGGTGCACTTACATGCAGGCAGTACACACACACAAAATAAAAATAAAATTTTCTTAAAAAATCTAAGCAAAGGACAATATGTCATTCTTTTTAATTTTTAAAAATATTTTATTATTTTTATTTTATGTGTGTGTATTGTCTGCATGTATGTAAGTACACACATATCATGCAATGCTCTCAGAGGACAGAAGAGGCCTTCTGATCCCCTGGAACTAGAGTTACAGACAATTATGCTGCCATGTGGGTACTGGGATTTGAACCCAGGTCTTCTGCAAGAACAGCTAGTGTTTTTAACCGCTGAGCCATCTCTCCAGCCCCATGCCTATGGTATTCTAAGCCCCACTAACCACACTTAATGTGCAATTCATCTGGCTAGTGGCCATCATGTTGGACAGCACAAATGTAGAACATTTTTATCATCTTAGAAAGTTCTATTGGACAACACTGGTTGTGCTGGATAGCTTTAGTGTCAGCTTGACACACCTGGGTTGAGGGAGCCTCAATTGGTGAATTGTCTCCATTGGATTGGTCTGTGGACATGTCTGTGGGGCATCTTCTAGATTATTGAGTGATGGAGGAGGGTCTAGCCCACTGTGGGTGGTGCCACCCCTGGGCAAGTGGTTCTGTGTTGTATAAAAAAGCAGGTTGAACAGGGACGGGGAGAGCAAGCCAGTAAACATTCCTCCATGGCCTGTGCTCCAGCTCCTACTCCAGGTTCCTGCCCTGAGTTCCTACCTTGGGCTCCATGATGAACTGTGACTGGGAAGATGTAAAACAAATAAACCCTTTCCTCCCCAAGTTGGTAGCAGTCAGAATGTTTTGTCACAGCAATGGAGAAACAAACTAGAACACTGGTCTATAAAATAACTTCAAAAATGTCAACATGATGTGATATAGCCTGTGACCCCAGCACTCAGAAAGCTGAGGCAGAGACAGAAGAATCCAGAGTTTGAGGTCAGATTGAGCTACATAACAAGTCAGAATGAAAGAGAGGATGGGAGAGGGAGGGAGGGAGGGAGGGAAAAAAAGAAAGGAAAAATGTCAAGGTTATAAAAGACACAGAAAGACCATAGAATCATTCCAGAGTAAAGGAGATCAAAATGTCATGACAGCTGCATGCAAGGTGAGCTCCTGGGCTTGATCCTGAAACATACACAGAAAGGGACGTTAGTGGACCAAATGGTGAAATCCGAATAGGCTTTGGATTAGTTAATGATTCTATCATGCCACTGTTCCGGTTTTGGCTATTGTACTGAAGTTATAAAAGACACTCTTGCATTACTTTGAAACTGCGTTTTGAGTCTGAAATTCTTTCAAAATTACGAAGTCAAATAAAATAAGAAATAATCTTTGGACTCCAGGTATTTGTATTCCTTTATGTATTATTGTTTCTTGCATTTCCCCCTATTTCATGCACACAATTCACTGTTGTCCTTTTATCAGTGGAAGGACTGATCTATGCCCCAGGCTGCCTCCTGTGAGGGCCTTGGGGCATCCCCTTCCCAGTAATGCTCACCCCAAGTAGGCACATGTCTCCAGACTAGGGCTTCAAGAGGACTGTGCCTACTCCGATGGCTCACAGTCATCAGCTCATGCTCCTCCCCAGAGAGCAGAGGTCAGGCCCAAAGATAGTGGCAAAGAGCCTTGGAAAAGGGTCATGCTGTCATGGCTGTCCTTCAGGGAACTCTGCTACACTGAAAACTAAAACTTAATTCCTGCCTTTACAACTTCATTCCAAATAATGTTTTAGTTTAAATGGTTACTTTAGGGCAAAAGTGATGGCTCAGTGGTTAGATGTCCTTGCTGTTCTTTCAAAGAACCAGAGTTCAGGACCCATATCAGGTGACACAGCTGCAAAAAAAAAATAGTTATATTATTTATTTATTATTTATTTTGCAATATGGTATGGCCTAGTATGAGCTGGAGATGGAGACACATGATTCTTAGATCATAACTTAAAACCTAATACCATATAAGCTGGTTGGCTTCAGTTGTCAACTTGACATATCTTGGAAGAGGAAACCTCAACTGAGGAATTTCCTCCATCAGACTGACCTGTAGCCATGTCTGTGAGTCATTTTCTTTTCTTTCTTATCTTTTTTTTTTTTTAATCTTTTTGAGACAGAGTCTCCCGGTAGTACCAGATGGTCTGGAACTTGATATAGTAGATCAGGATGGCCTTGAACTCACAAAGATCTGCCTGCCTCTGCCTTCCAGTGCTCCCTCCCAGTGCCACTGTTCTGGTTTGTTTCTTCATTGCTGTGACAAAACATTCTGACCACTACCAACTTGGGGAGGAAAGGATTTATTTATCTTACGTCTACCGGGTCACAGTTCATCAAGGGGCCCAGGGTAGGAACTCAGGGCAAGAACCTGGAGGCAGGAACTGGAGCACAGGCCATGGAGGAACACTGCTTACTGCCTTGTTTCCCTGGGCCCTGCTCAGCCTGCTTTCTTATTCAACACAGAACCACTTGCCCAGGGGTGGCACCACCCACAGTGCGCTGGGCCCTCTCACATCACTCATCAAGAAGATGCCCCTCAGACATGGCCACAGGCCAGTCCAATAGAGGTAATTCCCTGATTGAGGCTCCCTCAACCCAGGTGTGTCAAGTTGACACTAAAGCTATCCAGCACAGCCACCATGCCCACTGAGTCATTTCCTTAATAGAGGAGGCCCTAGCCCAGATTCCTTCTTTGAGCTTCTCTCTTAACTTCCCTCAATGTTGACCTAGGAGTCGTAAGATGGAAATTAAATCCTTTCCACCACAAATTGGTTTTAGTCAGTGCTTTATCACAGCAACAGAAAAGAAATTAATACACAGTGCTATAGCTAGATCACTTCTACAGATGAAAAGGCAAATGGGGAGAAGGTCCCTATGTCCGGGTTTCCTTCTCCTAAAGGGACAACCTCAACTTCTGTAAAAGCTGCAAACTAGATCCCAATTCAGATGGTCCCTTCCTGTGGGCAAGTCTGCTTTAGCACTTGGGTACTTGACAGTGATTCACAATTCCATGAGGAATGAAATTAAGTACAAAGTGGTCTTATAACACAGAGACTATTAGATGATTTGAAATTTTAAAATGTCAGAGGGGACTCTCAAAACCAAATGATTCCCCCTCTGATAGCTTTACCCTGTGTCTAAAAGAAAGAGATCACCATGCTGAGGGGGAAAAGAACTGTTTTCTGTCTTCTACCAATCCCCATTCCTAGGGCACTGTGGAGCAGGCAATGGAGCTGGTCTGGGCAAACACATGCATGTTGGAGAGAGGACAAGCGCTCTGGCTCCAGTTTGCTATCACTGGACTCAACAGCAAGTCTCTAGTCCAGCCTGCACCACTGAA